GTCTATGTATGGGTGGTTCTCGGATTTTGTCCGAAGAAATCCATTACTCCATGGGTTGTCTAGCAGTTTCTCGCTCTGTTGTACGTAGCATTGTACTTTTCCGCCTCCCAAGATGAGGGCGGATATCCATAGCTTTGACCCGAGCTGATAGGTATGATGTCTATAGTATACCTCTACCGCTGTACTTCTGTTTGACCATAGACCCGGTAATAGACACTATCCCAGGGCTGGCCGCCGCATAGTATCCGTCCCCTGTCCACCGTGGCCGAGGACTGCTAGCTGAGCATGATATTTCCGACATGCCTATCATATTTCGGGATAACCATGGTGACAACCTGAGTCACTACGCACTGCTATTTCACCTGGTCTCCTACTAGTTTTCGGGGTTGGCCCGGGAGCTTATAGCTTCTTCCCTTGGTTAAGATAGACCAACTAGTATGTGTACATTTTTCAGTACGTTGTCAAATTTGCGTATCGCATGGTGTGGTTCGAACCACTACTTATCGATCTCCTTATTTGATATCACCCTTTGGAATTGATCGATTCCTTTCTCATTCATCTTGCGGTGTCATGGAACAAAAAGATTACTATGATTTCAAGATCATCTTTCATTCGGTTGTATTGTCGGGGATCACGTGAGTAGTGTGATGACTAGGTGCATTGTTATACCAACCCGGCCATACTAGAGCCGTTGATCTCCATTCGTATATATTCCCACACGGTAACTATCCGCACTCGTGCTCTATATGATATTGTGGACTTGAACTATCTTGAACATTGGCCATGAACTTCGATTCATAGTATAACCCGTATGTGCCAAGCGTAAACAAAATAAAATCCGGTTGTGTTGGAACACACCATTCCTGTTAGTAAGACCATGCATCTCACTCCAATGCAATGCAACCATACAAAAAGAATTGCAATGCGACCCGCTACCCAAACCAAGCTGCAATGTGCATTGCAAGATTGCAAAAAGATGGTCCCAGAGGGGCTCGAACCCTCGACTTTGACGTTATTAGCGTCACGCTCTAACCAACTGAGCTATGGGACCCGGTTGTTGTGTCGTCGGCTCATGTGGGACTACATGAGCCATGCAGGGTTTTGCATATGACAGAGTGGAGTAAAATGTATGTTTTGGGTAGCATGAAAGGAGGCATGTTGGGCTATTGAGCTGCTTAACCACTTTCTGGTCAAATACCCCTGGATGACTCGCCATGGGAGGAGCATAGTAATTAATGGCTAAGCTCAAGGTCTATTGGTCTTTTGTTAGCTTTCACTGTGTGATGGCGCTAGTCATCTGTTAAACGGTCTCCGCTGACGGAAATATTATCCGATTGTTCATGCTGACCGACTGGGCAGAATTGACCAAGATGGTTGCCTACTTAGGTTTATCAGCTCGAATAGACCAAGAAAGTCTAGGCCTAAGGACGAGTCAAATAGTATTAGCCAACTTTGACTTTGCTACAGAGCCTGCAGCCACCCACACATGAAGCCGCACAATATACAGGGTGAAAGGCACCAAGCATATAGGCCCATGACATAAGGCGTGACGCAACATCTCTAATATCCCCATTGGTATCTGTTCTCCTATGGCCACTACAATCCCTCATTTGCAGGGTAGCGGGCGGCCGAATAACATGAACAATGTCCTATGCCGCTATAAAAAGGACCGGCTGTAAAGTTACCATTTCAGCTATATCGCTAAAACCAATTGAGTAGAAAGCTCTACCCTTGGCTTATGTTCATTAAAGCCGAGCGGGTAGATATCAACTGGGTCCCATAGCTCAGTTGGTTAGAGCGTGACGCTAATAACGTCAAAGTCGAGGGTTCGAGCCCCTCTGGGACCATCTTTTTGCCCTTCTTCGGTCCTATCGCTACGACGAGTAAGTAGAGTGGGTGACCGAAGGTGCGATTGGTTTCTTTTTTTTATTCAATTGCGCTTCAGTTGGTTGAACTTGACCGACGGCATTTTGCAGCATCCGTGGTGGGCTCTGGATCAATGCCTGGCGTGTTTTCTTAACGAATGGCTAGATAGTGTATTGCATGTGTAGCCACGGAAAACAAGTACACCCAAGTGGTTGAAAAATATATTTGATTGCAGTCCTCGATCTATATCCCGATGCCGGTACTAGGCTAGAGCGTCATGTCATGCCTCTCTAATCACAACAGTACAGCCAATGGCACCGAGTCAGCTATAAATGCAAACTCAAGATATTCTGTCCAGCAGATTGAATTCCTAACCTATGAATAGCGAAGAACGACTACCACCATTCAAATCCCTGCCTACCCCATTCTAAAGACCATTCGCAGGGATCATAGAACCGGGTATATACACCACCACTTCATACAACCTTACCTACCACCTCACACATGTATCATCTCATTTCTTCCCATTTCCCACCAACCGCCTCTCCTCCAACCACAACACCGGCCAGAACAGCACCACCCCAAACACACAAAAAACCGTCGCCAGCAACTGCCAAATAGTAACCAGCAACCCCCCGCCCCACGGTGCCACAAATTTGACAAACTCCGATGTCTGATAAAAGTCCTCCTGCTGCTTGATATAGTACCGTTTGCCGGACCCTGTCCGCGGCGTACGATTATCTTCGCTGTCCGTGGTGAGATCCAAGACCGTGGTCAGATGTACATGGGCGTGATGGAAGGGAATGGCCCAGATGGAGAAAAGCTGGGACATCTGGAGGTAGAGCTTTTGGTTGGGTTTGTCGTATGCTATGTTAAATACGAATTATTAGCTACTCGTCAATAAGAGGGGTTGAGGATGATAAGATATGAATACCCACCTACGGAATGCACCTCCAGCTCAATCCGCGGCGACATGATCTTGTACCATTGGTAGATCCTCTCGATGAACCAGCGACTCCCAGAGTAGGGCCAGACGCGACAGAAGGGGTGGATGAAGGCTGCGCTGGGAGTGAAGTATTTCTGGATTGTGCGTTGTTGGTCATCTGGGGGAGCTTGCGTGAGGTGGTGGATTATAGGTGTGATTTCAGATGCTGTGATATTTTCATCTAGATCAGTCTCACTGGGTGATGGTGGTGAGGTGGTACAGATACGGGACCATGTGGATGGGAGATACGGACGCACCTGGGTCTTCCATTTTGTGACTGTTCCTGGCGGAGATGGTTCGGAGGAATGGGTTGATGGAATTGATAGAATTGATAGACAATTGTCATAAAAATATTTACAGTAGATAGAGGCAAATGAAGGGAATTGGAGGGGAAAGCTGGGAATAGTTATTTAGTTGAGTTGGGATGATGTCATGGATGCGGGCGTCGCAAAGGCCGGATGCGACGGGTTGCTTTTCTGGTTTCAAGATCGGCCAACCAGCGAGATGTGCCTGGTGCCTGTTGGTAAGGTTCTGCTCCTACAATAGATAAATAATTGCATCACTGTGAAAAGATGTGAAAGTGAAATTAACTTTTCTGGTATCGCAAATCACTCTGGCTATCAAAGCATCCAGTGCAGACGGGCTACTTTATGCTCAGCGATCAGCCCAGGTTGTTCACGTCCAAACAATCCAGTGTGTATAGAGCGCTTAGAAGAAAGGAATATAAATGATGCATCGTAAAAGTGAGAAAAGTATGTATACAAGTCGATCACCGCTTCCAGCTGTCCACCTTCTTGCGCCGCTTCTCGAAGATCTGTCCCACTCCCATCCCATCGTCGCGCTGTCCATCTTCATTCTTGCGCTTCCGACTCCGATCCAGCGCTGAGCCGCTTCCCTGGGCTCTCCGAGTGAGCTTCGTGATCCGGTCGGCTCCCTCAGTAAGACCACGCCATTCCTCCCCACCAAAGGTGCCTCGCGGGCCCTCGGCACGCAGACGTTTGGCCCGATCCTTCTTGCTCTCCTTCGCCAGACGCACGAAGTTGGTTTCTTCGTATCTCGTCCGCTCAGCCTCACGCTCGCGATCCTTCTTAGACTTCGTCTGTCGTCCACCGCGTACGATCGTACTTCCGATACTGGGCTCGGCCATAGGTGCGGATGACATCTCGGCGCTAACGAACTCATCAATGACATTGGACCGGCGTTGCGGGCGCTCCCTGCGCTCCCGGGTTTCGGTAGTCGGTAGGGCTGTGGGCATAATGCGAGGTGGTCGGTAGATGCCGTCGCTTGTAGCTCTCGCGGCCGCCTTATCCTGCTTGGCCTCAGGCTCAACCTTCTTGGAGAAGGCAGATACGTTAGGCCGGAACGCCATCTCATCTATATCCTCCTCCTCATCCTCATCCTCCTCGTCCTCCTCACTGTCTCCCTCGCTGTCGCTGCTACCTTCGTCGGAGCCAGACTCTTCGTCGCGAGCGGACTTTTTAGCCTTCTTGCTCTTCTTGGGGGCTGTGGCTCCGCGCTCAGCCCGCTCCGCATCCTCAGCGGCCTTAATAACCTTGTCGACCTGGTATTTCAGCCGTCCTTCCAAAGGTCGGACACCGCGATCCAGATAGACACGTAGTTCAACGAGCTTCTTCACAATATCGTCCGGGAGCGAGTCGTTCTTTTCGGCGTCCTTGTCGGTGGATGACTTGAGACCCCTCAGCTGGAATATTACCAAGAATACGAGGTTCTGCATGTAGGAGAGGAGGAGATCGGACTTGGTGTCAAGTAGCGAGATGCCATCTTGCGGCGGTTCGATCGAGACATCTGAGGGCGCATCCCGCTTCGTCTTGGGGAGCGATGATCCGGTGCTGTTAAGACACGTGGTGAGGGTCTCAAGCAGGGCTGAGATATTCTGCGAGCCAGAAGGCTCTGACTGGGATACGGCCGCCGCCATTGTGTGCTGTGCTGTCTCTGACTGTCTGTTGAGTTGTCCGTCGCCGAGATCGAGAGGGAAATTTTTAGAGACCGCTTATCGGCACGTGTCGATAGGCATCAGCTTAGTCAGACATACGAAGTTCACGTGCGCCCAAGTGCGCGAGCTGGCCTCAATGCATCCGGGCAAGGCGTTCTTCTCTCAGCGAAGAGCCCGGTTTCGGTTCAATTCCTCGTTGAGAATTCCTGGTCTCCATCTCAAGTAGGTGGTTACTACCCGGACCACCCCCAACCCATGCGAGCTTGAAAATCGCTTGTGGCGTGGAAACTGTAGCCTGTATGTATGCCACTTGAAGCTTGGGTCCAGCCGAACCCCAGGGACATCCGCCAGCGACCGACAAGAACTAACTAATACCGCGCTGGAATAGAGATACCCACCATGTGGTTCAACAAACGATCCTCGCCCATCGCCGCCCTCCTCCTCACTGCCCCTTCATTATCCGCCGCTTTCTATCTTCCCGGAGTTGCGCCTACATCCTACGATGAAGGCCAATCGGTACCACTCTATGTCAACCATCTTACGCCCGGCCTAGCGCAGCAGGATGAACAGCTCCATTCCGTCTTCTCCTATGACTACTACCACCCGGCCTTCCATTTCTGTGCTCCCCAAGAAGGTCCTAAGGATGTTCGAGAGTCGCTGGGAAGCATCCTGTTTGGAGACCGCATCCAGACGTCGCCGTTCGAGCTGCACATGGGCAAGAACGAGACCTGCAAGGCTGTCTGCGGCCCGGCCTCGTTTGATGCCCGCAGCGCCAAGTTCGTCAACCGCCGAATTCAACAAGGATACAACATCAACTGGCTGGTAGATGGGCTTCCTGGGGCGCAGATTAACATGGAGGCCGTGACGCAGACCAAGTTTTACAGCCCCGGGTTCGCTCTGGGATCGATCAACGACGAGGGACAGCCGGTCTTGAACAACCACTTCGAAATCCTCATCGAGTATCACCGTGTCGGCTATGGAAACCAGGACAAGTACCGTGTTGTTGGCGTGCTCGTGCAGCCGGAGTCCCGGCGCAACTCCATGGTCTCGGAGGACGGTACCGCCCAGTGTGATGGCGACGGTGTCGGCATCACCTTGAACGAGGAGGGCGAGACTGCGGTTACATGGACTTACAGTGTGTACTGGCGTGAGTCGCCCACCGCATGGGCCACTCGTTGGGACAAATACCTTCATGTCTACGACCCGAAGATTCACTGGTTCTCTTTGATCAACTCGGCTGTGTTCGTGGTCTTCCTGGTCGCGATGGTGAGCATGATCTTGGTAAGGGCTCTGAAGAAGGACATTGCCCGGTACAACCGTCTGGACATGATCAACCTAGACGACTTCGACAGCACGTCCGCGGCGGTGGAGGACGGTATCCAGGAGGATTCCGGATGGAAGTTGGTGCACGGAGACGTGTTCCGGTGCCCCAAGTCCCCGCTGCTTCTGAGTGTGCTTGTCGGTAATGGAGCTCAGCTGTTCATGATGACAGGCGTGACTGTTGGTAGGTCAAATTTTTGCAAATCAAACAGTCCTCTTGCTAATGGCTATAGTTTTCGCCCTCTTTGGTCTGCTCTCCCCCGCGAACCGTGGCTTTTTGGCCACTGCAATCCTTCTGATCTATACGCTTTTCGGCTTCATTGGCGGCTACGTATCGGCCCGAGTCTACAAATCGCTTGGCGGCGATGCCTGGAAACGCAACATTATCATGACCCCAGTGCTGGTTCCCGCGCTCATCTTTGGCGTGTTCTTCCTTCTGAACCTGTTCGTTTGGGCCAAGGGATCGAGTGGTGCCGTGCCCTTTGGCACTATGCTTGCCCTGGTCCTGATCTGGTTCGTGATCAGCGTGCCGCTAAGTGTTGCGGGAAGCTGGCTGGGATTCAAGCAACGTGTAAGTCGCCTACTCCGAATCTCCATGACGGTTGCTAATTGCTTGTAGGCTATTGAAGGTCCCACCAAGACCAACCAGATCCCCCGCCAGGTCCCTCCGATGACGGGTACGCTGCGTACTGTTCCCTCTCTGCTGTTGACCGGTATCCTCCCCTTCGGGGCGATCTTCGTGGAGCTCTACTTTATCATGACCTCGCTGTGGACGAACAAGATCTACTACATGTTTGGCTTCCTGTTCCTCTGCTACGGGTTGATGGTTATCACATCTGCTGCCACGACCGTTCTTCTGGTGTACTTCTTGCTGTGCGCCGAAAACTACCGGTGGCACTGGCGGGCGTTTGCCGGCGCAGGAATGACCGGCGGGTACGTCTTCTTGAACGCAATTCTGTTCTGGATCACCCGGGTCAGCTTCGGTGGTTTCACCGGCGCGGTGTTGTATGTCGGCTACTCCGCTCTCCTCGGATTTATTGTCTTCATCTTGACTGGTAAGGACCCTTGCGACCTTCCCGAAAAGACTCACTCCACTGACCCTGTGACTAGGATCCATTGGGTTTTTCGCCAGCTGGGCGTTCGTGCAGCGTATCTACGGCTCCATCAAGGTCGACTAAGCCGTTTGAAACTTCTAACATGAGCGATCGCTCGTCGCGGCGCGGCCCGCCCCCAGAGTCGTAGAAATGCCGAAATCTCCTCCGGTACAGTCGCAGGAGGGAACTCCGCACCGACTCAGCACGCGCGGTGACCGCGAGGACGCGTCACGCAACTGTGCTTTTCCGATATATACATCGTAAAATTCGCTTTGATGCGTTCTGGATGGTGCTGGGCTAGGATATCCCCTGTATAGCTGTGTTTGAAATTCGCATCTTTTGGTTTTGGTTCTTTGCTTCACTCGCGCTTGTAATGGTTATGATGTGTACATAGAGAAGTCGGAAAGTCTGGACGCGGGTGTTCGGCAGGCGACGCCCGTTGGCAGAATTAGAAATGATGGACGCGCATGATTGAATGTACGATATGGACCGCGCATAGTACGGATGCAGGAATTAAGAGTGAAAGTAGATCGGAGCAGATAGCCTCGACCGCTCTAGGCCGACGTAGAAGAAGGTCGAAGAAGCAGGGGGACGGGAAGGCGGAGGGGAACAATTGGTGGATGAGCGAGTAGGAGCCGTGGATCTCAAACCGCTTACGCTTCAAACCTCGTCACAAAGTGAAGCCGCCAAGCCGCCGTGTTCTGGACCCGCGGCTCTTCCAGTTCCAGCATCCCCGACTCTTTCTCCTGCCCATCGCCACGAAGCCTTTCTTTCCTCTCCGTTTTTCCGCTGTCTCAGCTTTTGATCTGCACTTTTCCCCCTCCGACCTAGCATTCAGTTTCAATACTACCTACCCTACCTTGTCAGCCGTGCTGGTACAATCCGATCGACCGCCCTTTCTTCTGCCCCTCGGCCAAGCAGCGCACGCTCTTATCAATCCAACCCAAACTTTCCTCTACCCCGCGCCTTCCGAGAGACCCTGTTTCATCGCGCGTTCTCACCCGTGATACATCGATCCCAGCGATTTTTTCCTCTTTACCAAGACATTCCACATTCGACCCGAGCGCTTGGAGCGTGTGTGTGATCTGAAGATGGGCAAGTCGTAAGTGCTGCGCTTTTCCGATCGCTCCGCATGAGTCTAGCCAGGAACAACAAGGGAACCCCCTCGGGCAGGACAACGGACACCCATGGATGGTCGCACTCTAGCAACAATGACTGCGCTGCGGAGTAATACAGATCCTGATGGGAGTTGTCTGATGCTTGTCCATATTTCCTCGCTGGCGCCCTACTTTTATCCCCTTAGAATTCACCCCTGCTACCCCGGACCTCGTGTGCCCCGCTTGTCCGCATCAAACTAATTTATTCACCGGTCTTTCAGACAGTCGAAGTTGTCCCCCTCCCAGCTGGAAGAACTCCAAAAGGCCACGCATTTCGACAAGAAGGAACTTCAACAATGGTATAAAGGTGTGTGACAGATATATCATGGGTTTGCGACCGGTTTCCCCCGGCCAATTTCCTCTCCCCGTTGTAGAAGCAGCCGCTGACGAATCGCTGCGGGGCAGGATTCTTGAAGGACTGTCCGTCGGGGACACTCACCAAGGAGGAATTCCAGAAAATTTACCGGCAGTTTTTCCCTTTTGGCGACCCGTCGTCATTCGCAAATTATGTGTTCCGCGTGTTCGACTCGGATAACAGCGGCATGATCGATTTCAAAGAGTTCATCTGCGCCTTGTCGGTCACGTCGCGCGGCAAGATGGAGGACAAGCTGGACTGGGCCTTCCAATTGTATGACATCGATGGTGATGGCAAGATCACGTATGACGAAATGTTGGCGATCGTTGAGGCGATCTACAAGATGGTAAGTGCTACGCGCCTAGTCGCCGTTCCATATTTTGGCCCCCACGCCGGCTGACCCCCCCCCTTCTCTGCACTACAGGTGGGCTCGATGGTCAAATTGCCCGAAGACGAGGACACGCCGGAGAAGCGGGTGCGCAAGATCTTCCGCATGATGGACAAGGATGAAAACGGCAGTCTCGACATGGAGGAGTTCAAGGAGGGCAGCAAGCGGGACGAGACTATTGTCAGCGCGCTGTCGTTGTACGATGGGTTGGTGTAGGGATAGATCGGCCAACGACTACAACAACACTATCACTTGCTGCTGTCTAGTTGGGTGGGCCGGTCGCATTATGCCCATGGTTGCTTCTGCGCTTCCTTGATATGTCTTGGATGGTGAAACTCTCCTCCTGGTGAATTGGCGCTAACTGTTGACATGCTTTATCTGTTTTCGCTTCTTTTCATCCATATTTGTGACTTGGCTGCTTCTTGTTTTCTTTTCTTTTTTTTGTCGTTTGCTCATTCTTCAGGATTCCCACATTACTGCTCGTATTGACATGATAAAATGCGTCCAAGCTTGGAATCCACCGCCACGCCTTGGCATTACCGAAATGCCGGTAGTTGGTCGGCTGCTCATGGCGGCATCCGGTTGATCGTCCGTCTACATCTTTACTTCTTGCTGGAGCCGGAACTATGGCCGTTGGAGACCACCCGGGTATGTACAGACGGGTAAGAGGGTGATCAATTCCCGGCCGATGAAAATATTTATGAATGCTTGTATGTACATAGTCGTTTAGCTGTTATTTTGATGATTTTCTGGCACGTTGTTTTTGTAGCGGCGTTACTACCTCGCATGTGTCAAGATTACTATTGCAGTGACTATAGACAGATACAGACAGCTCATTCATCGAATAGCGGTTGCGTTGACCAGGATTTTGTATCTGATTTACTATGCTCATTCAAAGGATTACACATCGCATCTTCTTTACCAATACCTCCCAGCAACTTAGTACTAGTGAGTAACTACTTCTGACTACTAACTAAAAGCATCCACATCACCCGGGATTTGATTCGGTGATACATAGTACTAGTAGGCAGCCAGCAACCAACCAAAATAAACAAGCAATATACTGAATAAATCATTTAACCTCCAAATTAAGTAAATATACTTAGTAGTTTCTTCATTTTAATTTTAAAAAAGCCGGACTCCTCCCGAGAACCGGGATCTGTCCCCCATAAGTGAGTATTAATTTGCTTTTTTTTTTTCTTTCCCCCTTTCCCTTATCATCCCAGTGACGAATGATGGATTCTTCATCTGCACGATCATCACGCATCACGGACCGGATGGACTACATTGGGCACCGTGCATGATGGAGCTCTTTCTTTTCTTGTCTTTTTTATTTTTATTTCTTTCCTTTTCTATCTTACCATACATCCGTGTCATGATGATCATCCCACATAAAACAAGTATAATAGGATGGTTCTATTGTTCCTGCGAGTTATTAGTACTTACTAACTTCCTGGTTCTAGTATCCGCCAATTATAAAGACGGCCAGGAACGGGTGTGCTTTTCCGATTTTAACCGGGCTAGGATCTAGACGTGGATGGAATTTTGAACTGAGTTTTTTTTTTTGAATTATTCCTTGTGTGCGGTCGGGAGGGGGAAGTTTATCGCTATGCGGGTTATGCTTTGCTTGGTTTGTATAAGGTTTGAGTATTGTGTGGGTTTGGATGGATGGCACATGGGATGGGGTTCGTGTGGGGGAGAGTTGGTGAATCTTCTTCTTCATTCTTCTTTGTGATGGATGGATGGATGGATGGATGGATGGATGGATATTTTGCAGGTGGTGAGTAGTAGTAGCTGTTGAGTAACACCAGTATAATGATCCTCCTTGGGACAAGTAGCAGTCAAGTGAGAAAGAAAAGAGAGACAGGATGAGATGATGGATCGCCTCCCGGTGTCGATCCGGACAGGCAGCGGGCCAATCAGTTGGAATCACCCGGACAAACTCGAGGCCATCCGTCAATCCTGGAGAGAGTTGAAGGCCGTCCCTCTGGTCCATGAATTTCCTCGCAACCAATTGAGTCCAGACTCTTTCGCCCAGCCCTGCCGATGCGTGCTCCACCTCCAAATCCACCATCCATCCATCCCCATCCATTCATTCATCGCCATCCTTTCCCTTCTCCTCCTCCTCCTCCCAATTATTGCCTTTTCCCCGTTCCTTTCTCCCCTTCTCCCTCTCTCTCCCTCTCCCACACAACCCCTCGCTTTCTCTCACGATTCACTCCCCTCTCATTTTCACGCTACTCTCACTCGTATTCAAATCATCCTCTCTCTATTCTCCTTCCACTTTGCCTCCTTTCTTCCCCCCTTTTTATCTCACGTCGCTCGATCTCCCTCACTCCCTCCCCCACGCGCACCCCCCCCTGCGTCCTTGCCTCACATCTTCTCCATGCCTTGGCTGCCAGATCGCACCGGTCTGGCTGGGGCTGTTGATCTATCTTCAGCATGGTCCGAGTGCCACGCGGTTGTCGGGCCTGCGCTGACGCCCATCTTCAGGTGCGTGTGTGAGTGATACGAATCATAATCGAATCACTGCTGGTTCCGTGTTGGTCGTTGGCTTCATTTCATTGTTTGCTGTCCTCCCCCAAGCATCGGGCCGCCCATCCTGGCGTCTACTAGTCGCCATTCCTCTCCTTGTGCTCGACCCCTGAACCCTGTGTTGCACAGATGTTGGCTGCTGCTTCTTTGTCTGTTGCTGCATGCTTTGCCCCCTAAATCCTGCCCAGATGTCAACTGCCGACATTCCTTTCTGGACCACTCGGTATCCACCAGGCTTCTGCTGTTGCTGCATTTAATTCTCCGGGTGTCTGCCCCTGTGTGTGTGTGAGGTCAGGTTCTAACCGTCAGCTGGCTCTCTTTTTAGTGTGACGGCAAATCTCCCTGTAGCCACTGCAAAACTCGCAATGTACCTTGTCTAAGTCAGACCCGAACCTTCAAATTCCGCAACGAAGTACCTGCACTCCAACAACGTTATCGCACTTCAATCTCACCGACTACTTCCACTACCTCTTCTAATTCCACCTCTACCGCGTCGTCGCAACTTGTCCCCCGCCCGCCCCGCGAGAGGGACCCGCCTTCTCCAGGTTCGGCCCGCGGGCGCGACGTGCGATTCGCCCCGCTGCCGCTGTCAATGGACGAATCCGTCTCGCCGTCTCTGACCGTCACTGCGGTCTCCGCTCAACAAACCCAGATCTTCACTAATTACGTTCTCACTGCCTTCCCTTGCTTCTTCAAATGCACCGAAACTCGCGTGCCCGTCAATTGGGTCGAATATGTCGACCGTCGACGTGGCGCCATGAACTCATGCTTCGACTGGGCCATCCGTGCCTGCACCCTGTCTTATACCGCCTCCCTCTACGATATCCCTGAATTCAATGAAGTCGCGCGCTCCTTTTACACCCGCTCTCTCGGCGGTCTCGCCGGCCTTCTTGCCGACGAGTCGACCGCCAAATCCGACGAAGCCCTCTCCACCGCAATTGTTCTCGCCGTGTTCGAGAAACACCACTGCACCGGCCCAGAGGCGTGGATCCACCACGCCCACGGTATCCGCGCACTACTGAAACTTC